AAGATCACTTCTTTCCTCTCCATCCTGCTGGGGATACCATGGGCCTTTAATCAGTCATAAAGTAGACACAATCAGTCATCTCAGATTACAAAATGACAAAGTTTACAGATATAGAACACAGGATGGTATGGTCTCAGCCTTGAATGTGGTAAGAGCATTAATCCCTTCCACAGGGCAAACTGCAAAGTATTTAGCCCATGTCGGTATCTAGAAGAGGTCTTTAATAATTATGATTGGCATCAACATAGCACTAAGCTTTAGTATTCATTCAGTTTAATAAAAGATCTCATTCTTTTTGAGGCACAATAGAAGACAGTTACTTTTGCTTTCCCAGCATGCTCTCCCTGCTTTTTCCACAGTCTACTGCTTCAAGCAAGAACTGATCATGTAGGCATATAAGATTCTAATTTCATTTCCTGAAAATAACCATGCTGTTTCCCACATTCTAAATAGTTATTTAGATGCTACTACTACAGTTGCAACAACTATACTATTTTCTATTTTGGAGTATGGTGCTTTTCAGTGCCACAAAATCTGGAATCTTCACAGCCTCTGCCATATTGGGACCCAACTCAGCTTCTACAAAATCAGTTATGTGCTGTTACTGTCAACAGTGAAAGGAGGATTTCATTCTACAGAGAATTTAAAGCAATTTATCTCTATGCAACTTGTGGTAGAAAAGTCACCCACAAGAGACACAGAGACATCAACTAACAAACCTATAATTCAGAAGTACTTCAAAAGTGCACATTTCTTACTGGTGAGATGTAATACTGAAATAAACCCAAACAAACCCACACAAAAAGGAAATATGGAACTTGTTATGCTTTGGATGTTTTTTTAGAGGTCATGTGGTTTACACTCATATGAAGCATGTGTCTTGTCAGGTAAACTAGCTGAGCAAGCTGAACAAGATAAAGCATGTCTAGAATTAGGACAAAAGAAACCACGATGTCCTCATTTTTGCACAGAACATTGTAGAGATGACATGAAACAACAGCAGACATTTTTGTAAAAAAACATAGAGGAAGCAGAAAGTTTAGGCTCTGAAAGCTAAACTAGTGAAAAAGAGAAATGTCTCTCACAATTATAGGGAACCAGGTAAACTAGGCCTGATGCAGTTCAATCTAAAGGGTTTACAAAGTAAAGGGTTAACACAACCAAGCAAAGAAAATTACTATCACAGCATGGAATACATCAAGAATGCACTCAGGCAACGTTTCTTAAACTGTTTTCTCAAACTTCTTTTGACCCTCTCTTCCTGCACAACTGGATTTAACATATTCTGATGAAAGCAATAATCTCACTCCTGATATACCACATGAGCACAAGGGGAAGCCTTCAGGGGCCAGAAGGAGGACAGGAGAAACAGAACTTCAGAAACATAGCAACAAAGGAGTTATTTCAACTAAACATTAACCCTACTTAATGGATTCACAGGTAGTACTTTTAATTTCCAGCATATTCCCTATTTTGCAGATCTACTTTGCAAAATTTCTAGTAGAATCCGTTACTTAAAGAAATAATTAGCTGTTTTTCTTTTTGTTTTTTTTTTAAAAACTAGTTCTTCCATGTCCCAGACAAATGTGCTCATTGTACTCGTATTTCTAAGTGTTGGTAGGCTCCCAATTTTCCTGTGAAGTTAACAGAAAGATCCACACTTCATTTAATGGAGAGAAAAAATAGAAGCAGTAGTTTGAGGCATATGAGACAATATTTCAAATATTGAAGAAAAAAACCACAGCACTATGAATTTGTGCTGTTAAGAATAAATTAGTTCTGAGCGGAAATAATTGTAACAAGCCTGACAAAAACAAAGAATGAAAGAGCTTACTAATAAGTCTTTCCATGGAAGTGCATGTCAAGGGAGTGGATGCTTGAAATTAAGAAAACGATGGGATACCTGGTTGACAAATATATCCAAAAAAGTAACTAAACTGTTTAATATCACAAAACACACCCTTTGATAAAGATCCAGTGGAATACAAGAGTGGCCCAGCTCACAGAGCCTTTCAGACAGTTTGCTTGTTGAAATGCTTCAAGCTCCTTTCTTCTCTTCTTGCATGGCTGATGACACAACAGATGCAACAGCACACAGCTTCTATTAAATCAGTGTTTTGTTGCCACTTCTGGAACCAGTCTTTAAACCTTACACAGCAAATAATTGCTATGCCTTACTCAGAGAACCCAGTACGATTTTCAAATGACAATGTCTGCATGAAACATAACGAACTAGATCCTATTGCTAAATTCAATTAATTATCCCTGTCTCTCAAATGCAACCCTTGCGAAAGGCCAACGCTCAGATCTCTTGCTTAAGTTACTCATAAAAGTCTGGCTCAAATGCTTAGTATTCAAGTTATTTTTTGCATATTCCATGGCAAGATAGAAATCACACTCGAAGAGCACTTTTAAAGGATTTGCTTTTACTTCTCTGTTACCTGATTTTTTTTCCCCTTGAACTGAAATACTGTAACAACAACTAGTACACACTTTAATGTAAATAGTGTCACATACTCCTACTTGAACAAGACACTGGTGCTGTGATCAACAAATAATGCCTGAAAGGAATGGCCACCACAGGAAAAAAAAGACTTGAAAGGAAAAACACAACGGAAGCATGAAATGGAAGATGAAAATTATTCTAAACATTCAGTCAGTAACTACTGGTGTGAGAGCAATAAGAATATGTTTAATTGCAACAAACGGTTACTAAAGTGTTATAAAAAAAGACAGTACTTGCCAATTATTACATGCACAATGAAACACACTATACGACTTCATAAACATACAATTCTGTGCCATGTTTAGAGATGATGATGTTTATGGTTAGAATTACTACATGCCAGTACATAAACATAATTACAGAACACAAAGGAAAGGAGATAGAATGGACCAATTCTCTCCTTCCCAGGTGCCAAATTTCACACTGTTTAGCTGATTAACCAGTACATTCCAGCAGAAGGAATGACATAGTTTGATTAGATGAATGCAAGCTTGAGGACTAGGATTCTGCAGGACAGCCAATTACATAATTTTATGCATTCAGTTCTCACTTTCACGAAATGGCAAAGTCCCAGAAAATATATTTGTAGATTGCCTCTTGTGCAGTTACTTAGAGAAGGTAAATAATTTAGTAAAATAACTGCACAAGAGACCACAAGAAACCTCAAATTGTAAAAAAAGGAAAGAAAAAATTACTTATGGTTTTTTAAAAAGTACCCACACATTTCCATTTATAACCTAGTCCTTTATTACACATAGAAACTTGTAGAGTTCAGAGCACCCTTAGATAATAAATTTTTGAGGAAAAGCATCTTTGTTTTCCTCTTAACATTTAAGATAATCAAAAAATAGCTATCCATATGAAAGTTTTGCAGAAAGGAATGGATGGTTAAAAGCGGAATTTGGCAAATACACTTATCTATTGAGTGGAAAATAACATTCTGCAAACATTTTCACAGAAAAAAAAGAATCTTAAAGATGGCTGTTGATCATTACATTATTTTGCTGCATTACTCTACATCTCTTTTTTTTTTTCCCTACATATTCTTTGGGAGGGTCTTTTTTTAATTTATTTTAAAGACTAAGGTGGTCTAATGATGTTAAGTATGGCATTTTTCATATACTTAAGGAATAAAATAAACACCATAATATTTAAAAGCAGTATCTGCATGAACCATGTGATGTCAAAGAAACAACATGCTACACGTTTCAGCCAGTCTGGAAATACTTGATAGATGGAATAGAGTAATGTTAGCGAAGTCACATAATATGTCTAAACCAAGCCAAAGCAAACCTTTGCTGCATTGTTTCCTCAAATTTGTTTTTAATTTTAAAGTCTCACCACCATTCAAGCCTCCTTTCTCCCTTTCAGCAAAGAAGTTGGCAGAAGAAAACTATTGTCTCTGATGACAGTAGAATCAAGACTCGAGACTCAGTTTAGGATAAGAGCCAGACTACTGAAAATGAAGATAGGCACATGCCTTCTTAAACAATTCTGAAACATGGGTCAATAAAGTGGATGGAAAGTTAATCTTCATCATTTGACTTTCAACAATTTAGTTCTTTCCAATCTTTTTTCCCCTTGGATTGGAAATGTTAAAATATAGGACTATACTTGTTAAACAAATTCAGAAAGTAGTCTGTCTATGTTACACTAACTTGTTTTCTGAGCAAATGGAGTCAATAAATCTTGCCATATTTAAAATTTTACTTTTTTTTTAACAGTTAAAAAATCAGCATCTGTCTATACCCTTTTAAATAACTGATATGTTTTCAGCCATGAGTAGATGATAAAAAACTTCAGTCTTCCAAATACATAAGTTAACATATGTTTCACAGACACAAATCCTTGGATATGAATCTAGGATGAAATTTCATATTACTTTCCTATGTGTGTGAACGGGTCCCTTTTATATTAATAGGACCAGTAAGTCCACAGAGTGTGGTTAAGACTGATATGTTTTAAACTGAACTTACATTGAACATCATGGCATCATCCTCCACACCTCTGAAATAGAGCTTGTTCATGTGACTGTTCCATCTTAACCTCATGCATCCATTTTGTACACCTTCATTTTCTTCTTCATGTATTTCATTAAAGTCAGAAACCCAAGGTTTAACCAAAACATAGCCCCATATTAACCAGTGTTAACTCTAATTCAGCCCAAACCAGCACTAGGGTTTATCAAAAGAAAACTTGTTTTGCTATTTTTCACGACTCCAAGGTATCCAGCACCCCACCATTAGACATGATTTTAATTCTTCTGTGGTTTTATAAATGTAAATATTGTATAATTTGAAAGTTTCCTCAAAATTAGATTCAGATTTTTTCCGCAACTACCACACATTACTACTAATTCAGTTACATTACCCTCCTGTTTTCCAACTACTGTCTTTAACTGCAGATTAGCCAGCACAAAGATGGATTTAATTTTAGTTTAAATATATATGGCAAAGACACTCCACAGAGTTTCTAAAAATAAAATTTTCATTACCTGGAAGAGACTCTGGGGATATTTCTTGAACTTCTGGTGTTTTGGATTCAGCAGGCCATACTCCAGTTTCATTCTTAGCTAAAAGGGCAAAGACATTAGAGAGTAATTGTAAAGATGAATCTGTTCTTTTACAACAGATTTATTTCTGCCCCACTTCAGTTTGACAAGGTAAGCCAACATGGATAAATGTGGAAAGCTGAATGCCTGTAGGAACCAATGAACTTCTACAGTACAATCAGTACAAGTATCCATCTAGTTATGTTAAATACATTATTTTTTGGGTTTGTTTTGTTCATTAAAACATATTTTAAAATAAAATTTAAAGGAAGGATTTAATGCCTTATGAATCATTACTGTCACACTGCAGAAGAGTTTTTGGTGTTTTTCATTTGTCTAGCATTTGAGCATTAACATTTTCTAAATTAAGAGATGCAATATAGTCCTAAGTGTTGCAAAAGAACAGTTAATGCATTTTCAAAATTGTCATACTAATCATGTCCTTATTGTCCTTGACAGTACTTTTAACAATTACAGTGGTAGGACAATAGTCTTCTATTCCAACACAAACAAAGATATTCCAGCAGTGGCTATAGAGTAAATTAATTAATTTGATTTGAATAATATACCTGTTGCTTTTTCTTCTGCACCACTACTTTCAAAGTAACCCAAACAAACCCAAGCCATATGTTTTTGACTAAATTAAAAGACAAAACACACTTTGAGAATTCAATAAATTTTATAGTTTGCAATGCATTATTTTGATTTTTTAATTAATACAGAATTAGAATAGTTGCACTATGTCAGCAAATCAGAATTAGTCATAACTTCACACACAGGATAAGCCTTATAGTATTTTATTGTAGATGTACATCAACCTCAGGCAGCCCTGAAAGATATCTGTATAGATTTGGAAAACACATCTTTTTGTCAATTACATTAGGGATTGATATTATTTCTCAGAGTATTTTTGCCTGCCATACAATGACTCTTCCCTGTTTTACACTTCTTTGAATACAGGAGTCCCTTGTGCGTACACCCCTGTACTTCATGTTCTCTGGTAAGGGATACATAATAAACAGAACAGAACAAAGCATCACTTGTCTGCCCTGGTTATTTTTGCAAAGGTGTTTGTGCAACATGCTGTGAAGAGCAACTCCAAACTGGCATCACACCAGCTGGCTATTTTAGACATATTGGCATTTCAATTTAGAAGCCCAAGTTCTACACTCAGCCACCTTAGGAAGTCAAACATCTTGAGGTCAGCTGAAGCTACCTCCATCTTTTTCCCTATCTTTTGCTCATAGTCACATTCTGCCATTTTTACTGTGCAAATTCCTGAACCTTATGACCTATCTGAAAACGTTTTCCTGCAGAAAGATATAATTTTACTGGTATAAAATGAAAACAAATATAAGAATTCTAGATACTGACATCCAAAGCTGATATTGATGGTCTTAAAATATGATTTTCTTAAAGTAAGGGGTGTGAAAATTGGATTTGTCAAAATATGGTCTACTGAGATTTTTTACCTGCACACCATATATATGTTAGCACTATGGAAGTAATGGTAAGGAGTTTGTTTTCCACGCTTGCTAGTCAAAGAAGATACTAGTAATCAAGTTAATGTCTGATTAATTTTATCATCATGATTGAAAACTGTTAATGCTCTGTAATGTAAATACTGCAATTAAGGCTTTACACTTAGCTTGAATTTTCAGCAGCCACAGATGACACCAACAATATTTGTCTGTGAAATGCTAGTAATACTAAATTTTAAGGAACTCAGCCTCAGTACAAACATATTTTTACTCAAACACATGTAAATATTATTCTACTGTGTAGCTCTACCCTTACATCTACACAGCATCTTAAAAGAATAAGTACTGCTGTTTTCTTCCTGCAAAGCCAGCAAGGCTGAGAATGCGCCATGGTCTGCAATGGAATGACAGAGTAAATTAAACAAAGCAGAAATAAGAAAGGAAAGAATTCTAACCCAGTTGTTTGAAGTACAAATTAACTATTAAGATGTGTCAAGCCAAAAGTCATCAGCTCCAGAACCCTAGGGATCTGTGAAAGATGCACTGGGGTATTATTAAGGTTTTTAAAGTTAGCTTTATTTTCCACAGTTATGCTGTTCACAGATGACAACACTAGTTTAGAGATCTTAAAGAAACACCCTAATTAAAGATTTTTCTGCAGGTTTCAGGCATGTTCACAACATACACATGAAACCTGTACTGAAGTGTTCTAATTTCTGGCTGTCATTTTCAAATGGACTTAATTACAGATAATAAATAAGAATCTGTTCATGAAGTACCTTATAAAACCTGTCCAGATGTTTTAAATTAAGTGAATTTCTATGAATCCTTTTAAGTCCAAGCAAATCATTAATTAGAAAATAGAAAAAAGAAGGTAAGAGGAATAAAATCCGTATATGCTTGCATATATGATCTCACATCACCACACTTCTGATACTGTTCATTAAAAAATACAACCTTAGCTCATTTCTGCTTACCCATTTTTTTCTTGGATGCTTGAGGTATGTCATCTATCGTCAGGAGAGGCGGAAGTTTCTGCTGACTCTCATTGAGACCTGGAACAATAAGGTGCACTGCAAAGAAAGATATGCACCATTAATTTCAGAAGAGATGAAAACAGAGTCTGCCCTCTGAGACATGTGGGAAACTACTACTGAACTGTTGGGAGTTTAGTCTGAGTATCTGGGAAATTAGTTAGTTCTGTTCAACAATTATCACTCCCATTTGGGGCTATTTCCACTTTATATCACTCACTGTATCATCATCATTTCATGAATAATCAGAATTGAAAACAATTTGATACTGGAACATACAACCCTGGAGTACTGCAGCATCACATATTCTAGGACATTCTCTATGGTGGGCCAACAAGACTCAACACCAATCTGGCTTACTAAGTATGAGTTTGATTCATATCAGTACATTCAAACTCATTCAAAGCAAACTTAAGCCAAAGTTATGCAGTCATAGAAGATATTTCAATATATAAGGAGTAAAAACCTTCCTGAATCATGGAATAAATTGGTCACAAGGTGCATGACGCGGTGACCCTTCCTATTCCAGGCAGACTTGTAGCTCACCACACTAGGCACTATATGATAGACTTTTCCCTGGTTTTATGTTCTAAGCCATTATTGTGTATTCTTATAGGTCAAACAAGAACAGAAAGCGTGAATTCGAATAGCTTGGAGGGAAACTGTTATGCCCCTAACATCAAGTTATAAAGGTCTAACATCAAGTTCTAATTTCAAGATCGCTATGATCTAATACACTGGTATGGGTTTGCATCTGTAGATTGCATGTTATCATGCTACCTTAAAAACCCAATAAGAACAATCCCTCATCTCAATAAGATCTTTGCCATAAACCTTCACTTGAAGCACGGAAGAACTCCTTGGCTTGAACAGTGAGTGTCTTAGAAATACAATGACAATAATGTGATTCTATTTCACTCAAGCTACAACATTCTTGAACCACCTGTACCACTATAAATTGCAACAAATACTATCTGAACCAGCTGCAAAATATACTTTGATACGCAAGGAGATAACTATCAAGATAAGAAAATTAAAAGCATTTTCACAGTTCAAATTTTCAACCAAGCGTGACGAAAAATGATAAAAATATCTTCTAGTCACCTAATATTGCTCCTGGGAGAGAAGAACTATCTGGTGTTTTTGACTGCGTCCGATTTTGAATAACTGTGGAGACAATACAGGGATGTTAGAAGCTTATTTTAAAAAACTCAAACCAAGAAATAAAACCACACCTGAAACAAGCCTCAGTATTCTGAGAACCTTCCCTCAACTTAATAATTGCAGATGAGGACACCGTCCTAATATTTTCTTTATTTACATAAATTTAAGAGACTGCAAACTGTGTTTCCTCTATATCATCTCTTAATTGTTCATCTCTTTTCCCTGACATCAATTTTGGTGAAAAATTACATTTTTTGCTTATGTTACTATAGGGCCTGCTGCAGGCCATCTGGTTACCCTGACATTCATTTTCATCTCAAATTACTCTTGCAGAGTATAAGAATAAATTTTTAAAAAGTATACAAATTTACCTTGTTTGATTATTGTGACAGGGACCAACTTCTTATTATCACTCAGTATAAGCTGAGAGAAGAGAAAAAAGACAAAACAAAAAGCCTTGGGATAACTGCCATAATAGTAATTGAACTTTCTGAGTAATAAAAATAGAGGGCTCTAATCCAATACCGCGCCTGTCCCAAGTTAACACTGGATATGGCTCTGGCCCTAGTCACTGGTGGTTACACTATTGCTTCAGTTCCCACGGGCTAGTGTTGTAATATTGCATTTTGATCTCCTTTCAGCCTGAGATATTTTGCTTCATAAAAACATAGTATTTGACAGTTTAGGAATCCCCAATCCTCTTTTCTTTGGGGATTCACTGGGAAGTAGTCCAGAAAGCTGAAATTTAACTACAGCAAAACATCTGAAATGTATGCATATACATATAGAAATTATAGGTACAAATATATACAAACTGGGTCACAAGATACAAATATATTCTCAGGAATAGTATATTTAAAACACAAACTATTCCAGAACCTGGAATTTGGACATTTGTAAACTATCAGCACTCTTGGGTGCACAGCCTCCTTAGAGTAGATTAACTCAAAGTGATTTTATTTGGTGGAATTGTTTGCTAAGTCTAAGTGGCCAGCTACCCATGTCATTCTTACATTTTTATGCTAAATACCTGGACTATTCTGCTGTTCACTTCTCTTTGACCCAGATTACTTCTTGCCTAAGTGTGACTATTTTCAATTATTATCACATCACAAAAAAGAAAGGGAAATATGAATGGACCCTACATTTATTAAAGAAAGAAAACAGCTGATCCCAAAGATTATAAATTAGAATTCACCACCATACATAAGTATTAGGAATAACTTCTGAAAACTTAATAATACACTCAAGTGATAAGACAAGGCAGACTGTAATGCCAGCAATATAGAAATGCTAAATACATTAAAAGGAGATTTTTTCCAGTTATATCTGAGTTACAAGAAAGAAAAGAACTCAGACAATCACCTTTCCATGCTAAATGTGTACCATTAAAGTCAGAATCAGATAAGTTCTTTTTCCACTTTGCAACATCTGTTCTTCATATGAAAGAATATTTGCATGAAAATTCAGCATGTGATGACAAAATTTTAATTATTTACCTAAGGATAGCTCTTTTTGTTCTATTCTAAATATTTTTTTTAAATCAGGGGTTGAGTACATATCCAATACAATCTCCACAAGTAAGATGGACCTTTCCCTAGGGAAATAGATGGAGGCTACTTATGCTATGAAAGCCATTATTTCTGCATTGGCATGACAAAGGTCTTAAATTAAGTAGTTTCAATCAGTGTCATTAATGAAGGATAGAAAATAATCTTCCTTTTTTATTGCTTATGTTTTTCCTCTGTTGCTAACAAGTTTTACATTTCTGTTTTGTCTTCTAGTGAAAAATTGTGTTGCAGATGATCAGCTTTTGAAGTAGTCCTGCTATTCATGTGACTATCAAATGGGATGAAATGCATTTATCAGAAGGCATTCATTTTATTGTATTTCTTATCAGAATCCTTACAATCAAATAAAAAGACCTCTAGTTGTAGTGAGCACTTGTGTAGCTCCACTGCAGAACTTTTCATAATAATTATCAGTCTTTTTGCTAGCAAAAGGCTCTCATATTGACAAAATAATCCTTTCTTTGTCGAATAATAATAGATGACTGTAACGACAGCAATATAAAAATACCAAATACATTTAAGTACATTCCAAATTTAATTTTCACTCTAGAATGGATCATTGACATGAAATCTGTGTTCCCCAACTGCTGTAATTACACTGCTCACCTACATAAATCTGTAAGTGCTGCACTTGAAATATACCACCATGTTGTCAAACTTTTCTTCTCAGTCTCCAGAAAGTGACTACTTTAGACAGTTCTACATCTAATACAATTTACTACTTGGACCAACTATTTCAGAAACATCAGCACATTATTTGTATGAATGGCACTATCAACCATACTTTTTCAGACAGGGAATATAAAGCATATAGGTATGAGGAGCATGAGTTATTAAAACAATTTTTGCCATCACGAAACAAGATGGCAAATAAGGTATTCCTTATTTTCAGAGGAAAATTAGAGATGTAAATTATACCCTAAGTAAGGCATCTTAAGTTCTGACCATATACATATGGAATATTGCACAAAGGACTGCAAATCTCAAACATTGTATGAAAGAAACAGCACATGGCAACATTACTTTAAGAGACACTTGTTCATTCTTTCTCTCTTATATTCCAATACTCCAAAAAGCTACAACTAACTGGTATACATGTAAGAGACTCCTCAAGGAAGCATCATGGTCAGCCTGGATTGAGTAAGTTCTGGAAGGCCAGGAATGTTTTCTCCTAGAGTTTAACAAATGATAGAGGCTCAGAGTCCTTTTAAGGCTGGAAAACTTGAGGAGGACTCCACCTTTCAGAATGACATGAAATTACAAGAACCTAATCAGATAGAAGAGGAAATAAATTTTGACTGCTTTCTCTCTGCCTTACCACCACACACATTTTATGAAGGGAAAAAGAATAATCATATCTACAGCTCTCCTTTTCTTCCACTCTCTGATTAGTTGTAGCTCACACAGTCCCAGGAACTTAGTCAAACTTAAAGGATGAAACTGCCAAAAGAAACACAAGCTGATATGTGACTGATGTTAAAAGGGCAGAATGACTAGATGGATTGGTAATGTTGCTTTAGTAAACAGCCTTTAAAACCATCCTTACAGAGAAGCGTTAGGACCATGCTGATATGAGTCAGTTGTATCTTTGGAGCAAAATAAGGCACAAACAAAGCTTGGCCTAAATAACACCCATTCTGGTTTTGCATGATGATGCGATTGAACCACTGAAACATACCCCACCTATTGCTGTGGAAGCTGAAGTAATAACATAAACTTAAGAATGGGCCACTATCTGCTTCTGAGTCTCAGTTTTATGGCTTTCTGCACCAATAAAGTGAGGGTGATAAGAGAACTTTTAGAATCATCTATGGAATGTTTTCACAATATTTCTGTGGAGGATGATAAAGCAGTACTGCTCCGGAGATAAGCTCTGTGAAGCTGACTGAAAAGCCTAGATGTTGGCTCTAGTCCTTCTTTCATGCTTAAGCTGTGCAAATATTTGGAAAACTGTTTTAGCTCTCTTTCTCAGGACTTCTCCTGCATAAATAGAACCCCTACTTCCACAGAAGCAGCCTAACAGTCAGGGTCCTGGCAGACAGGGTTTTCTAAGTGGAGCAAATGAACTCAGCTTGCACTCCATATGCCAGAATGAATTACCTGGACTTGGGCTGTCCTGTGTAACTTTAAAGACACTTCTGGGACCAATGGGAAGAACAGTAAAGTTGACTTCATCGACATAATGAAATGAACACCCGCCTGAATATCTAACCACCTGGATTCATACTACTCACAAATACAACATTTTCTCTTGAATGCAAGACATGACTTTATTTCCAATAGCCTTAGCATTATACTGCTCTAACTCTATATGTAATGCAATAATTAAAGTATTACTGTCCTAAATAAATGGAAATGGCCTCAAGTTGTGCCAAGAGAGGTTTAGATTAAATATTAGGAAAACATTTTTCACAGAAAGGGTTGTCAAGCACTGCAACAGACTGCACAGGGAAGTGGTGGCCATCCCATCCCTGAAAGTGTTCAAAAAATGTGTGAATATGGCACTTGAGGACGTGGTTTAATGGTAAACATGCTGGTGGTGCTAGGTTGAGTTGGACTTGAGGTTCTTAAAGCTCTTTTCCAACCTTAATGATTCTTATGATTCTTTGCATACCTAATTATTCCTACAAGAAAACGTATGGAATGAACCATGGTTTGATTACTGAAGAAATTCCAGGTCTGATAATTACAGACCATTTACAATATTATACATTATGAAGAGCAAACAACCATAAATTACCATTTCCTACTATGAAAACACTTGGCAAATATGAGACAGAAGAGAATTATGAAGAATGGGTTGTTCCCTTATAAAAATCAAAAAGTAAGAGGAATTTCTACAACCCTTATTGGGAAGCTATTCCATAGTCTGTCTCATGGATAGTACCTTATAAACAAAAGCAAACAAACAAACCTCCAGATTAGGTGCTGAAACTTGTAGTTTGATGAAAATTTAAGGACAGGAAATATGAAGAAACCTATTTAATCTCTTAGTAGAACAGGTAGCTCAAAAGTTATGAATACAATGTCTGGTTTTCACTGTCTACTAGTAGATTCAACCTAGAGAGCCTTCATTTCTGCTTCAGCTCTGGGAAGCAAAAAGTATCAGTGTATGTGAATCCATGAAGATATGAAATCCACTCAGACTTGCTTGATAACATTTATGGAAAATGACAGATGATTTTAAAATATTTCTATGTATTTATTTATAAAAATCATCTAATGTTTTAATGAAATTATTTAGATGGCCTGAGTATATACGAGATTGCTCTATAAAATTACAGCACCAAGTTATCACAAAATTAACTGACCACAACAAATATCACAGGCTAACAAACCTGACGACTTCAAAGGGATAAGCAAATTTTAAGTTTAGGATCCACACATGGAAAACATCAGTTTCACATTTGTTATACTGGAATAAGTATATGTAATCATCTCAGCTACAGTTCTCAATCATTTTGTCAGTCCACACATATAACACTTCTCCATACAGTTATCTAGTCTTAGAATTAACAGATTGTTTTTAATATTGGCAATTTGTGGCCTCACATTAGTCTGACAGAGAAGCCTAAATTCGACACAAATCTGGTATAAAAAATAAGACTGTTTTGCGTACCTGTGTTTGGGAATTGGGTACCAACTTGTACATATTCTGGAGTTGTCCATTTACTTTTTTATCTGTTTTGATGGAAAGATAAATAAGTACACAGAATTACTTTCATGTTTTGTCCAAAGCAAAAAAACCCCAAGTGTATTCACCTTTTTCAACAGCCAGGAAAGTGAGGAGGTTAATTACAAGCCTGTACAAAAACACACTATGTAACAATTTTCTTTCCTCCTGTTTCTCCAGAACAATTAATTCACCTGCAAAGCTTTCTCTTCACATCCTGACAGCAAGGAAATGAGATGCATTGTTCTTATCTATAACAGGGGTTAAGAGAGCTGAAGTGGTCTTTGGGACTTATGACTCCTTAGTAAACCAGAGGTGCCTAAGAGGATCTCAATAAAAATAATATAACCACAACACTAATATGTGAGGAAAAAACTTGAAAGAGGAATTTCTGCATCCCATCTGTCAGGCTGGTACAAGAACTGGCTAAAAGCAGCTTGGTTTAAGGTCTCCAAAAGCAAGTCTTACTTTTAAGTATGCTCTTCTGAAAAAAATACACATTTAGCACTGACAACACAGAGGAGACATGCCTCTTCTCTTTAGGTCTGACATAGCTTCATTTATCTCAGTATGATCAATGTAACCCACAGACGTAAACTCCAAAATATTCCTCTTTTTAATCTTAGTTTCTTAGTATTAGAAGCTTCTTGTGATGCAGCTGTTAAATACAGATGAGAAACAGTCCTACTCAGCACGTCTTCTATTCTAGCAAGATGCTTCCAAATTTACCTATATCTTCCACCTTTACACTTTTCTGCTCTCTGCAATGACAAGTGTGCAAACAAGAATCAAGCTATATGTTACCATATTTCTTCACAATTCCATCCAAGACAGAGGAGCAATAGAAAAAAAAAATTCAACTCTAAAGAAATATCAACTGAGAGACATTTAAGTTGCAAAAAATCTTTCAAAGTGCTTGATACTTCTAAAGGACAGAACCTACTATTAGCTTAAAGACAAGGGAAAACTGACAGAAGTTTCACACTGACTTAATGAGAAAATCATCTTAAGATGGTCAGAAATAAGCTACTTTTGTCTCTTTAGAAAAGTTTTGGTTAAATAAAGGCTGAACATTTGCCAGGCCTTTTATGTCTTCTCAAATAATGAATTAAAACCAGATTCTCCTCCCAGTTCAACCCAACAAGCTTAGTATGTAACAAAACCTTGTCCTGTGGATTCAACAATTACAAGAACATGCAAAAGAAATTTCACATTATAGTAGTGTATATGTTCTTCAGTGAGGAAAGAAAATTTACTGTGAAGGATGTTTAGTTTAGGTTGAGATGCTTCTCCTATATGAGAAGTCGCTACAAGACAGGAAATTAAAACAGAAAGGAAGTGGTCATTTGTGCTGATTGGTAAACTCCTGTGCACACAGTCGTTTTACATTTGTAATAAATATACACTCTCTGTTCACTGTCCCCATTTTCTCTATCTACCTACTATACACTAACAGTATGAAGGGCTTGAATCTGAAAAATGCTGAAAACTTTCTGATTAGAAGATACTTTTTCAGTAGACCAGAATGTAGACATGCAGAGTAATCCCAAACTCCCTTGATTTAGTTGCTGCAGAAGCATCTACGGAATACACAAGTCTACATTCAAGGAAAAAGAAATCTCATCTAAATGTGATATGAACTCTTACAAGAAAGTATCTTTCAACCAAAGTCAGTCTGTCTCCATAAACTTACAAGAATGATTCTCCTGGCCTATTAAAAACATAAAATGTCTATAAGAAACAGCATTTAGAAATATAGTATATACAAAAAGAAATATGGTGATGCCAGTAGATGTTTTCATCAGTATTAAACTATAAGCACTATGCACTCTTTGTTCCCTCTTATTTTAAGTGCTCAAATATATTTCAGCACTTGCTCTACAGATGACTCTAAGATGTCTGAAAAGTAGAAAAAGCCCAGCCATTTAGTAAGCCATCTTTAGGGCTGTGAAGCAGAGTTTCTTTCTGCAAGGCAGTATTGTATGGAAAAAGGTTATCAGCATTCCCCACTTGAAGCTCGTGGTATAACAACGGCATTATTCTGGACTGCTAAAACAACTCTATGGACACTGGGCAGGTACTTCAAAATTGCAGATTTCAGCTTTATAATGATAGCCAGAAAAGTTCTTTTTAGGGAGTATGAAGGCTTTTGCAGTGTTACAAGCCACCATACTGCCTCCCTCCCTTATCCTCAAGTATATCAAGCTGTGTAATTCACCTGCAAGTTGAAACTGAGGTCCAAACCAAATTTCAGCCAGAAATATATGAATAAGGCCCTCTAATGAGAATTCTCATTCTTCATATTTTCAGTCAAGCTAAAAGTACTGAGCATAGGAGTTTGCAGCATCTTCCAACCAGCATCACATTCAGAAACACATTTATGTAAATGATTGAGGAAAGTAAATCAAATTGGACAATATCTGTTAAGTCCCCTCTTCCTCTCATTAAAAGGAAGAAGATTCTGGTGGTGCCTGTTTCCTCTGTTGTTATGAACGATTCTTTTAGCAGTATATGTTTTTTCAAGGGTCAACTGGACATCACTTTTCCTACATTGACTTGGGGCTTTGGAGAAAAACCTTAAAATATGACTGACAGAACAGTCAGAGATGTAATACACTGCCTCCATGAAAACTCAGACAAAAGCATACATGACAGTGCATGCTTCAAACACAATTCATATAATTTCTTGCCTGAAAATTACCTTCAAATTCAACTGTCTAGTGGAATCCTAAGGGGTCCATTGTGATGCATGCAAGGAAGGACAGGCCCCATCTAGCTTTTTACCAGTTTCAACATAAATGCAGGTGTAAAAGAAGATGCGAACAAGAATAATAATTTCCATCAGCTCAAATTCATTGATGGAAGAAATGAAATTGATTAGCTATATGATGTTTTATGGATTAGTTGATCATCATGTTATTCAAGGCCTAAGGAAAAATCTTAGAATCCAGTCAGAAATATAAATATGCATACTCAACACTTTATCTGAACTAATTACTGTTAAGAGTCCTACCAACCTGCAGCAGATTCTCTATTTGCAATGAAAAAAAACACCTTTCAGAAGAGTAGGTGACAGTTTTTCAAACGCAAAATATTTCTAGTTTCACCAGTTACTAAAAGAATTGTTAGGGCCATAAGGGATAGCATTTGAAAAATGTAAACCTGATCAGTAGCTTACTCTAAGTAATACCACAATAGGAGAAAATGTACTGTCCGAGTAGCTATTTGATTAATTATTGTCAGATACTTACTTGAGAGAACTGTCTTGTGATTGAAAGTCTTGCTCCAAATACTATCCTCTACATTGTCTTTAACTCCAAATTCATAAATTGTGTTTGGCTTCAAATTGTCAACCACTGTTTCTGTAACTGGGCAGAGCTGAAAAACCCATTTCTTGTCTTTACCTTTTTCTCTGTAGCGAACTGTATAGAACCTGCTCGGGAAAAAAAAATAAAGAAAAGATAAGAAAAATCTACACAAAGATACTCACTACAACCATTTTCATGAGAAATTAATAAAATAACTGCTACCCATCATTGTAGCAGTATTCTTCTTGTTCTTTCTGGCCCTTTATGGTCATCAAATATCAGAGAAACCAGCATATATTCCACAAATATGAACTCCATCATACAGACCCTGGAGTATTAGGAGTATTATACAAAGAGCAAAAGAACAGTCTCCTTTTTCACCAACAACCCTGTTTGTGAGGTTCTAACCACAAACCACAAGCTCATTTTGCAAGTGGTTCCTGTGATTCTGACATATGCCAGAATTAGTCTGTTGAATCATGAGTCTACTAAGAAGGAAGCCTCAGCTGATTTCTCAATGTCTTCTACAACCATCCAGTGAAAGGTGTTCCCCTCAAAAGTAGTCCAAAAATATTCTCAAGGGAATACCAGTAATAGTTGATGTCTGTATCATACATTCCTCTTTGAGTGATCCCATTATGTATTGCCCACACTTGAAACAAGAAAATAAACTAAGACATTTCTTTCAGCAGTTTAAATCAATAACGTGATGAATGCTAACATATTGTGAATTCAAAAAGCATTTCTACAGAAATTGCCCAATTCTGTCAAGCAGCACCACCCTGAGAAAGTATGACTGCAGCGCTAGGCAGTATAAAACACAGCAATGTACATGGTGAGAGCTTTGGCACAAGAATTCCCCTGCCTACTCTAGTCTCATTTTCAGTACACATGCTGACTCACTGCCAGAATGGAGCGGAGCTTTCTTTTTGTGTAAAAACTAATCTCAGAGAGATCTAGCAACTTTTAAATCTGAGTGTTACTGAAGATTCTTACACATAACATAAATAACACAAGTCTGTTTGTCCATATCCAGCTCACATTTACACCAGCTGAAAGAAGGATGAATTCCATCCAATTGTATTTCACAACACTCAAATAGATAAACTGAAGGCTTGAAAATTAAGGTTGTGAGATTTATTTCGGGTATTATATAGACAAATATATGGAAGCAAAGGAAGGGACCTTAAAAAAAATAAAAAGGCCAAGGAAGTAATTTAGTCAACTGAAAGGGTATCAAAGGTCCAGACTAAACTCACTTAATAGACCAAATATAATACAATCTACGCATAAAGCTGCTTTTGTGAAAGTTACAGAAGAACACTTTCAGATTAGAGTATATTTGAAAGATGACTGTTGAGTACATGGAAATTCCTACTTCATTATTAAAACAGAGCCTCAGACAAGGCAAGTGTCAGCCATAGAGAATAATTCCATACACAGTGATTCACTTAGTTTACATATTTTATCTTGCAACTGTCAAATATGTTCTCTTGGCACCTAAAATATAGGTGCTCCTGTTTCAGTTGCTACAATTCAGCTCATTCAGGTACTTCACCAGGTTACAAAATCAATATTTATAATTGATCACATAATTTTCTTCATTAGCTGTACTATTTTGTGTTCAAAACAAGCCACAGTCTAACCTAAAACTTGCAAAGGAAAAAGAGGAAAGAAAAGAAAAAAAAGACAATAAAAGACTAGTGAATATCCTTTCTTAACAATTCCTGGGCTACTGAGTAATAATCTGCCTTCTTACTTCTGTGGGCTGTGATGTGCTCTAATTTCATATGTCAAACAATAGATCTATCAGATGAACTGACAAAGAATATGTTTAAAAAAGAAATTATTGGCAACATTAAAATAAGGAAAATATCTGCTCCTTTATCTTCTAAACCATTCATATGTAGTCACACAGACATTAACACACAGGAAAAGCTGACTTGAACTCCCTGTCACTATCTTTCAAAGGATGCAACAGTGATAAAAACTCAAATCTTCAACACAAATGCATCTTGCTGAACCTCATACAGTCTTTTGGTGAGGGATTTGGAAAAAGTATAGATAGATCTGTGATCAAAATATGAATCACAAGTGGGAATAGCCATCTTCTTCCCAGCTTGCCTGAAAGTGGAATTTTCATATTTTTCCATCTTCATCCTCACCTTTTCCTATCAGTTTTAGTTCAATGGGATAGAAATAAAGTGGTTGCATGTGATGAAAAGAAAAAAGTATGCTGATTCAGTTCAGTTATTGAACAGTCTAAATGAATATCTGCATCAAAAATAAGGAAGAAAAAAGACACCTAAAAATTTGTTCATAATTATTAGGCTTTAGTGACTGTTCCTACTAGCTACCACTGAGGAAAATGTTCTGTGTCTCCAGACCTGTAAATTCCTTCACCCTAACATGAATTAAAATACCAAGAACACAACAAAAAACATCTTTCACTAAAATTCAAGACTATTAAGAAATCCGAAGATTTTCATTGCTGGGCCAAACTATGCCATTAGAAAGAGAAACACATAGCATAGAAGAAATGTGGTCTCAACTCCAAGACTTCCAAGCCTGTAAAAACTTCACCAAGGGTATAATAATTTCAGTGGAAACTTGCCATACTGAACACTAAAAACACTGACTGCGATGACAGAATTTCCTCAATCGTTCCAATAAAAGGCAAAGAAAATGAAGTTCCATTTAACAATTTGTAAGTCACAATCATTTGACTATTAAAAATATCCAAATTGTAAACAACATGCACTTTTAGGGAAATGCAATCATTTGTTTATAGAGTCCAAATCCAGAAATGCCAAGTTTTGTCATCAAAGAGCAACAATTCATTGTTAAACCAGAACAACAAACTGCCAAATAAAATGCAATTTCAGTGCCTGCCTGAGAATGCCGTGCTGATCACATTTTGTTCTAAAGCCTGCCTGAGAATGCCGTGCTGATCACGGTTTGTTGTAATTTTAATTTATCCTTTTTTAAAGCCTTCATTTCATAAAAAATACAGTATCAAAAATCAACACATATAATTGAAGACATGAGAAAGCAGTTAAGATCCAGTCACCACTCACATATATCTATCCCCTTGTGACAGTGACGTACATGCACAAAATGTGTGCAGCTGGCCTGCTGTGGGTATCAGAAGCTGCAAAACCTTCTTCTGGCTGCAAATATTCATCAAAAGGTCTCCACAGATTCCCCCTCAAAATTATAGGAGGCAGGCTGAAACGGAGTGTAGCCACATTCACATAGAAGGGAAAGGTACACTACATGCTGGTAAAAATATGAAAAACCAATTGCATTCTGCAGGGGCCTAATAGCTATTATCAAAGAAATACTCTTTGGAACAGTCCTAGGAATGCTATTGACAGCTGTGAATATTAGGTTGATGTTTCAGCTAGGAGGTGGCACACTTCGTTACACTTGGTGAGAATTTGTTTTTATCTACGTTCTCAGCAGGTACAAAGACCTAAGAACATATAACTTAATATTTCATTTTGATTCTATATTTGTTTTTGTGGAAGATATGAAAAGGGTACATTGTATCAGAACACTGTTTACTGAATAGCTCTCGTATTTCTATTTGCAACAAAGACGAATCAAAAGACTGCAGGGTTCACTTCATTTCTTTTCCAGCTAGCACTCTATAAAACATTAAAGCTCTTTCATTAAGATCCATAAGATTCAATACACCTTTCTCTCCCCCTACAAGCAATGCTTCACTCCTTAGAAGGTACCTCCAAGCAAACCATCATGGGGACTGTACAGAAATTTTACCTCCTCCCTTTTTACTAGTCAATCCAAAGGACAATAAGCACAACTTAAATCAAAAGGTGTCATGAGCCAGTGAGGAGTACTGTTTCAGTCGGAATGGCAGCAATAATGACAGAAAAATCCTCCCCAAAACAAACTCAAAACAAGCAGTCAAACCCAGAAAGAAATAAAGAGTCTATATTTGCCAAAACATCCTCTCCCTGTATGCATCTGTGCAACAGGATGCTATGTTTAATGTCTGTCTGTTCCTGAAACTCTGCCTACATTAACAAGCTTTATGTTTTACAACATTCTGACTTCCCTTGCCTTCACCTATGATGCACACAAAAAGTGAAATAATGGCAGAAATAAAGCAGGAGAGACAAATTTCATCATTTAAAGGAAGCCACAAGAGTACGATGTTAGTCCATAGGCCAAATATATCTATGTGCTATAACTGCAAAGCCAACATAGAAGACTCTCAGCCTGACACAAAAGGATGTTTCTCTTCTGTGTTCAGTTTACATAGTTTAATTTTTAAAACTCTACAATGCAAGGCAGTGCTCAGCTTAGAGACAGCCTTTTCACTACAAAGAAAACAAAATACTATGACCACTTTAAAGAAGCAGCACACAGGGCTTAAGCAAATCTCATTCGCTGCTAAAAAAATAAAATTCTAGGATGGATAGGCAAAACATTAAGTTTTCATCTATCAGTATGAATTACACTGCCTTACTAAGAATTCCAGTGCTATTTTTCCAATTTTAACCAAATTTCTGTACAGCCAGATTCCCAGAAGATACTTGTACAGTCAAATATTCAGGCACAAACAATTAGATACTGGAAATCGTATAAGGCAGATGGTTTTACAAGATTTCCAGGCTAGGTCAGTTTGTATAAATATCATGGGTTTATTTGGAACCAGATCCCAACCAAAACTCCAAACAGTTTAATCATGACTATTTTAGTCACACATAACACTAAACAAACAATTAAGCCTTGGAGATATAAGAACATTCCAGCTTTGTGATATCGTGTCACCAGAGACAAAAGATTCTAAAACTCATTTCATTCTTGTGCATAGGATTGTAATCAGACTTTTAAAAATAAGACTATTGACATATACATATATTTATTTGTTTATAGTTAGACTTCACTAGAAGCATAACATCGATTTAATGTTAGAAAGTCATAAAAGATATAGTTTGAACTATGATTTTTCAGATACTGTTTCACAAATTGGTATCTGAAGTTGATTATATTCTTTCCTTTTTTATTGCCAAGTTTACTTTAAAGTAACAGACACTGACATATACAAAACGATGGAAAGAATTAGATCAATAATGACTACCAGTGAAGTTTGCAAAGCACTTTCTAATTTAGTTTTCATTTTTACATGATCACTAACATTCATGTATTTTAGGCAATTTTTTTAATAGAATGACTGAAAGGAAGAGTGATAGGCTCTGAAGGATGGAGAGGCTGAACAGCAACAAATCATACCATGTTTAAAGAAGCTATTAGCATATAATCCCTCAGTAGTTACTCAAAAGCATCTGAAACTCAGGAAGAGTATTTGCTGCTGTATGTTTTCCTTAAGGAATTCTGCTAAGTTTAAAATACACTTTATATGACACTCACAACACAAAGTATGATTAAGCTAGAAGCTAAATAGTGACAGATGTTTGCAGACAGGCACAGAAGGAGATAGGCACATATCTTTCTGTACTTAGGGTTTTTACCCTACTTCTATGTACTGTACAACATAAAGACTAAGTATGGATTCCCTTGCTATTTTTCTTAACTTTTTTTTCTTTTTAAAGCATCAGATACAAACTAAGTAAAACACAATATCTGTGCTTCTTGTAAATATGGCATTAGGACATTTAGAGCATGGGAAAACAAATTTAAACAAAGTCAATGTGAATTTGTCAAAGTTTTAAACTTAAAAAAACATACATTCAGGTTTTACATTTCTATTTTGTATGTATCTGAAAGCACATTTGGTTTTCCATACAATCCACTCAATAGGACACTATATTTTACTGTATCTACAAACACTGTTTTTACATGGAAAATAATGATCCTTCCCCTAGCCTTCCCTCCTAAACAACTGAAAGTCAAACTCCACCTGTTTCAAACCCCAGCTTCATTTGGGATTTTCAGTTGTTCTAATCAAAGCAAATGCAGATGAAAATGTAAAAAATAATAAAAAATAGATCTATAAAGTAGTCTCTCTTTTTCAGACCTAAATGAACAGTAAACATAGCCCCAGTATATTTATTATGACAGCTCTGTCCACTAATGTTTGTTTGAACATAGAAAGGCAGAGACGAAACAAGTTTCTCTATTCTCTTGGAAATATGGAAAGGTTTTGGTTTTCATTCTAGTGCTAAGGCTCTGACCAGAGAGATTAGCCACTTCAAGAAGGCTTCAAAATTTGACCTTTCAAAGAACTTTCATCCACAAAAATGGCACTGGGTACCTTCACTTCAACAATGAATAAGCATTTGAGAACTTTCATCCACAAAAATGGCACTGAGTACCTTCACTTCGGGTTATCTTGAAGGAAATACGTAGCACTCTATCAGTTTATGCCCTTAATATCTAGAGAGTTAAGCAACCAAAGAATGGTTTGATGAAAAATGTCACATGAACCTTTTCTTCTTTGGAGTTTCTTAAAAAGCAATTTGTAGATACAGAAGACCACTATGTGCCCTCAAGAAGCAAGCAATAATTTCACTGAAGCAGTAAAAGATACCAATGCTCTTTTAGAATATGTCACTTCTTGTTCAAAACTCATTTGCTCACAAAACCAGATATTCTAAGGAATATCCCACTGAGGTCAGACTTGCACTAGAGAAAATCTTGGCCAGCAGATCTGTGCTGTTCCATGTGGTTTTCATCTTCTGAGTCAGTAACACATTCAAATAGCTTACATTATGCAACATTTGTACAAAAGCCTAACATCCACTCGGAGATGGTAAAATCTGAGGCCGAGAACAGTGACTCCATTTCAGGTCATGCAGAGTTACAAATCTAAAAATTGGTGAGATATTTACTGACAGAACTGAGTTAAGAGGTCATAACTGCCACATACTGCCCATGTCAAAGATTAGAGGTTAGTGACTAATGGCAACCCTGAGGATAATTAACAGTACATTGCAACATGTCACAGTAAGGAGAACATGCCAGCTGAAAAAGGATCAAGTGAGGTAGACTGCCCCTACAACAGATAGAAATATTGATGAATCCATTATCTGCTCTTTAAGTCTTGTACTTTTAACATAATGCTAACTTGCTAAGAATGGGCTACTTTCTAATGGTCACATGGAAAACTGTTCTCATCATTTATATAAATCACAAGCAATTTTGTCCAGTAAATGTAAACAAAATAAGCACACCACTTAAGTGACTTTTTTTCTCCATTAACTTTATTGCTATGCTTGATTGCAAAATAGAAATCTGCTTATAAGTATATACCCTGACTTGGATATAATAATTTGTAACTTGATTTAAGTGTTCTTAAACTAGCTACTCGTGAATGTCAGCATATCTTTACAGCTGAAATACAGGGTTAAATTCAAATGAACAATGCAACTCTTCTAGGCAAGTCATTTTATGGAGGCAAAAGGGAAATACATTGACAGTACTTTAGTACAGCCTGACAATATTTAACTAAAATGGAGGGCACATTAAAAGTAATTCCTAAGAGGAATCAGCTAACTGAACTAAATAACACTTAACTAAATACCAGCATACTATTACTTGACACAAAGACATGGTAAAAGCAAGTCTCTTAGACTAGAGTACGAGACATATAGAATATATTCTAAACAGTAAGACACCAGCAGCACACTGCACTAAGTGGAAAACATTCCAGACTATGTTAATCAGTCTGTTCAAACTTTGAGTCAATGAATGTCCAACAAGAAAATTCAGCTACTGAGGAGCAAACCCAAAGCTGATGAAGGCATTGAGATGAATACCACATGCCTTGAATTTCCAGGTGGATTACTACAGGATATAGGCTTCTTCTAAAGCATTCTTTCTTCCTACTGCACAATGGGTTCTGTAACTTTGGCGCTGACACAGCACACAGGGAAGGCAAAAATGGTGCTAAAATCACTATATGCACAGAACAAATAATACAATTCAAGGTAGAGCCAAGGCTGTTGTTTTAAGAGCAAAGGATCTCATGTGAAATAGCAAGATTTGCACTTCAGCATGTAGACATCTGACTCAATTTGCATTCAAGACAAGACTTGCAAAGCACTGATATAAGCAAATGAGAAAACTTACTTCACATTCAGAAATACTGTTTCCAACATTTCAATTTCCACTGTAAAATTTATTTTTGCCACAGCATACAGCTACAATGAATAAAATCATGATAATAATCAAAAATGTTTTTCTGTTATGTTACCTGTCACTAGCACAGTTACTTGTTGATGTCCAGTCATGTTGAGGGTTGACTAGGATGCCCCAAGAGAGAAATACAGAGGTTGGGGTGAGAGTGCCAACTACCAGCTGCAGAGGCTTTTGTGTCTTGGTCCGACCTACATAAGAAACATATAAAGTTAGTTTCTCTCTCCTGCATTATGTAAGGGAAAGTTTTTGCAGTTGTATAAAATAGTAAATGAAGATCTACTTATCTTCTAAGCTTGAAGGGAAAGGTACAACAGTTCTCTTTTTTTTCACAGTCACAATTTCTAATGTATAATTTACAAAAAGGGCAGAGACAGTGTCTGTGATTTCTTTTTTCCAGCCTAACGTTCCAGTTAAACCTAGTTTTTGAAAATGAACTATCGGTGGGTTTGATATAATTAGTGGTTTTAGTATAAGAATAAGCTATACGTAGATTAAATTCAAAGCTCTAGCTGTCTCAGACCATACCACAGAAGGTATGACACAGAGTTCAGGACATTAGGAAGTCTCTCTTTGGGTTTGACAGAAATAATAACTTCTTGTCAGGTTTCATTGTAACAGTGCAAATATGTCCATAAATAATTAATACATCTTTCTTCACTGAGAGTAAAACAAAGCCTACAAAAGTTCTTTTGCTCTTAACTATAGGCAGATCTGAGTCAGTGTCTCTATCTGGGGGTGTCTTCTCTTTTAACTACCTACTATATTGAAAATGTTCAGCTTTTGCATGATACTTAATTTTAGCTTTGCTCTGAATGAAGGAGCAAAACTCCCATATGGAGAACAAACCTTATTTAAAGAATGTTTCAAAGCTAATAGGTGGAAATGAACAAATGATCAAGAACAATTATTTTGAATCTGCAGTTTGTGGACTGCTAAGAGCCCAAGGAGAAACTCTGGTGTCTGAAAGATGATCAATTAAAGGAAATAGATATCTTATTTACATCACATTACACACTTCAAAAATCTAAAAATGTCTGAAAGATGATCAATTAAAGGAAACAGATATCTTATTTACATCACATTACATACTTCAAAAATCTAAAAGATCTGTACCTCTTCAAAATGTACAGGTGACCACAAATTCATCTAAAGTTTATAAACCATTGATCTAAGGGGTTTATTTATCACTGTTGTGAAACAGACCTGATTAACTTCCTTCTCATGCCTTTTGAACTCTATTAATCTCTTCACTTAACAAGCCTCAGTCTGGTTTGTACTTTCACCCAATGCTAACAAGCCTCAGTCTGGTTTGTACTTTTAACCCATGAACATGTGTACATTTAGAAATATTAATCATGTGGGCTTTTACTTTATATTGATGATGAATATGTTGCTACAAACCCCCACAAACAAGCAGAATCACACTCTATGCTTAAGAACAAGCATGACATACTTCCAGAATCACACTCTATGCTTAAGAACAAATATGACACACTTTGATATGCTGTGGAATATATGGTACTTCTATAAGGGCAAATAATTTTCTTGTAGTCTGCACCTGCTTCTACAACCTTTCTCCAGTTTTTAAGAAAAAAGTTCAAACAAACAGCTTGGTCATTCACCAAACTATCTGGCAAATCTGCTGCCTATAGCAAAATCTCCTTCTGGATCTGTTTTTGAGGAAACATGGAAAAGATGTGAGTTTTAAGGAAAAGACACAATACATTCTCATATATCTTGAAATAAACTGATTTTTGGGAGAACCTACATAGAATTTTGAATTTTATTGTGCCATTAGCAATGATTTGTACACTGTAAAAAGAGGAATTACTTTTATTACTACCTATGTTTTGTGATATGAATGTAAACCATAAAATTCCTTGGTATTAACACCAGTTTGAATTACAGTGTCTTTTCTAGAAATGCAACCAGTCTTCATTTGTAAATTTTAAATTGCCATAACTCAGACTTTACTAAATTTCTGTCCAGTTTAACTCTTGTCGCTACAAAAAGACTTGCCACGTATCTAGTTAGCATTAAACCTATAACTGTTCTTACACCTTTACTGGACTGCAGAAGCAATTTTCTTCATCTTGCTACAGAAATCAATTTCTGTAGACTGTAGATGCAAAAATTAATCATGTACAAATAATGCATTGGGTATTTTGGGTATTGGGGTTTTAGATCTATATATAGCATCTGAAAGGTAAACCACTTTCCAAAATTCTTTCTAGACATACTCTTTTATGTATAGCAAGAAGAAATTAATCCCAAGCAGCTACCAGGAACTAGAAAAAAAAAATCATATAAAGGTCATAGAATCATAGAATGGTTTGGGTTAGAAAGGAATTTTAAAGTTCACCTAGTCCAACCCCCCTGTAATGAGAAGGGACATTTTCAACTGGGTCAGGTTTCTCAGACCCCAGTCCAACCTGACCTTGAATGCTCCCAGGATAGGGCATCAGCTTACTTTTTGCAACAGTGATTCTGAGAGAAGTCTCCATGTTAAAGTAAGGGATTAAGAACCAACAATATTAATGACTGGTTTAAGGTCACAGAGAAAGACTTTGAAAGAGACAAAAGTTAAATTTGGATTTATACTCTGCTATGTTTAGTTTCAGCTAGAAATATCCGTCTTTCCTCAAATCCTTGCATCAGCAAACTTAGTAGTAGTACTGATATACAGAGAGACAGACACACACACACTCACTACCATTTTTCAATGAGAAACAAGGAACTTTGACATGCCTATGGATGAAGGAATCCATACTGGTAGTTTTGGAAAGAGTAACTTCAATACACTACAACACAGCATTTCCAAACTTTTCTTTTTCTTGCATGCACTTGTGACCTCTTTAAACATCAGAAATTAGTATTCTCGAGTTCAATTGTCATTTTAAGACCTTTACAAGAAAAATCTTTAGGTACTTCTTCATGCTTTGAACACCATGTGTGTGACTAATTATCATCTAGGAACTACTGTTTGACACTCTACCTTCCCATGCATAGAATTTGTGCATCCCAGTCAGACATCTACAAGTACAAATATATTCTCAACCCAGTAAAAGATTCTGTCTTCATTCAAATACATTAAGAAAGAGATGCAGTAATGTTAAAATACCTGAACAAGATTTCTTATTATTTGAAACACGTGCTGGTCTTACTGAAACCAAATACCGTGGCTCTGCATCTGGAAATGAAGAAACAAACAATTAATATAGATGTGCCATTTATTTTAAGAAGGTATTAATGTACAATTTATAAGAAAAAGTCAAATATTCAGTGAATGCTTGACACATTCACATTCAGTGAATGCTTGACATATCCAGTCGTTGCAAACTTTAGGCATGTTTTCTTTAAGATATATTGAATTTAGAATATTTTGATGCTTTGATTAAAACAAAGTTGAGATGGTGATTTCAGTCTGGGGAATTCCTCTTCAGAAAAAAGATTTTCCCTTACTCTTAAAATCAGATGTCAGAGATTTCTTCCCTTAAGTATTTCAAGCCAAGCTCTATTCTCACCAAACTGCAACATGAAAGAAGTCATCATAGGAGCTTCCAGTGAGATACTCATGGGCAGAATTTGGCTCACCATATGCTGATCACTATCATTTTCACTACAGTTTTTTATAAAAAAGGATTCCTCAATGTAAAAATATCATTCTAGTTTAGACATATTATCTAAATCTGTCTCTACAGATGAGACTGAATTTCCTGCATATTAGAGTGTAACAGGCAGCTTGAATAGTACCAATTAAACAGAACCACTAAGAAATCATTAAATTTTTCCTTACACCCACATTTCTGTAGCAAGAGAGAAAGGAATGTAATGAAAAAATCAAAAGCTTGCTGTGTTATAGAAAAGACTATGTCAGTGTTGGGAAAAACTTCACTGATTCTGTACATTTAAATCACTGGAAATCCAAACTATGGGTGTACTTTGTTTAATTATTTTCTTAAATGGGTTTGATCTGCACCCAGTAACTAAGATGAGCATTGAAAATAGCTGCTTAAAGCAGTGTGGAAAAAAGAATTAGTTGAAAAATAAAAGAATTATTTAATAAAAGAGAATCCCTGAGGTGTGAATACATCTCCATTTACAAAAATATGGTTTTAACTATTTAGGGTTGTACACAGTTCTGGGATTTGCATAACCATCTTGACTTTTTTTGTATTGAGACCTAGGACTGAAAATAAGTGACACTTTAAAATAATTTGACTTCCCTGTACTTTAATCCCAGATTTCTGCTGTGCAGTTATGTCCACCTGTGAGACTTGTGAAACTCTTGCAAAGTATTCAACAAAGTTAATTTCAAGAATCACCTTGAAACCTTGTGAATTACAAAGTCAGTCTTCAAAACATAGAAAAACCTCTGTTTTCATCAGCAAATATCCAAAGATTGTGAAAGAAAGTTATCCAAATGGTTAAAAACAATTTTTCTCAGCTCCATAACTGGAACATTCAATTCTGACTGAAATCTGAAATGATATGTGTAGCAGTATAGAAATAGATTAACTTCTAAACCAAATGTGGTAATAAACAAAGACTAAATATCTACCTGCACATCTCAAAGCCACTAAACCTGACATTTTTCATGAATCATTAGTTCTAACAGGTGTCTGTTCTGTAACAAAGTGCTCTCTGCAGAAATATTTTGTGTTATGTGCTGTTCATTAAGCTTTTCTTTTGGTGGATTGAAAAAATATTGCCTTAATAAAGAATACAACACATCCCCACTCTGCAGAGAATTTATGACTCTTCTGACTGTAATACAATGTATAAAAGAAGTACTTAGGTAGACAGGCTAAGACCAGATGTTGAGAGAGCACTGTTAGAGAACAGGCAGGTTTTAAAAAGACCACCTGTCTGGTTTAGAACCACTAGATTTAAGATACTGTTCTGATCATTATAACTGAAATCAGAATTTGAAATTATTAAAGGAGTAAATTCAATCCCTGGGATACAACAATAAATTTCTGCTCTGAACTTAACTAAAACACTCATCTTAATCTAGAAATATGATTCTATGATTCCTGAGCAGAACTACCCATGGTACTACATGGGTGTTTAGACTATAGCAACTATTTCAGTTAAATCAAATCAAATCAAAATTTGAATATTTAACTAAAATTCATTGGTTTGATGCACAGTATCAAAGCATTATGTACGGACTGGAGAACATGTGCCTCGAGAGGGTTTTTATTCTGGCCAGATATTCATTCTATATCCAAGGTATCTGAAATCAAGAAATGCAGACAGCTTGTTTAATATCATATAATGAGCCCTGATTCAGGTTTAGAAATGGGAGTTCTTTCTTAGTCTTGCACTGCAATTTAACATTTCTTTCAATAATTTCAGAAGACCACAGAGTTTTCAGACTGATTCAGTCCTCTTTCTGAGAAATATATGTATCAGTCATCATCACAATATGCAAACTATCCTATGCTGATATGACTCAATTAATTTTCAGGGCCTTAAAACATTTCCTCGCACATGTATTAAACTTCATCAAGTTGTGAGAATGGTTTCATGATAATCTGTGTTCTTTTATGATGCCTACATATGCATAATCCACTTTACAAATTCATGTCTATAAGAAGGTGGAATCTTGGGGAGAGGTGAATAACACAGAAAAAGAAAGTGCTGTGAAATACCGAGACCAAAATAAAACAGTACACAGAAAAAGAAAGTGCTGTGAAATACTGAGACCGAAATAAAACAGTGATTTAGCTTGTGCTAGCTCATCTAAATGCTTAAGAGAGAAATTGCTGAAATAAGAGGTAGCCAAAAAAATAAGGGGTTCTGACTGTATGCCATTATGATTCACAGAATGTATCAACTATTTACACTGAAACATATTTGACAGAAGAAGTGCATTTCTAAAATAAAAAAAAAGTAAAAGGAAATCACATCACAAAGTGTAGACAATCCTGTTTACAACTATTTCTTATTTTCCTTGAACTGTATTTAGCAAGAGAAGGATAGTTCTATAATTAAGATTAATGTGTAATATTTGAACACATATCTGCATGAATCCAGCATCTGCCTCCAGAAATGATTTCATTATTCATCAGTACATACAGAGACATATATGATAGAGATATAAGATATAGAGCTGTCATCTTGTAAGGATCCAGAACCTCATAAATGGAGGATCCTTACAGAACAATGTAAATTTTAACAAGTTCAGTTTAAAATACATTTGCACATTTGCTATGAGAGTGACTCCTTGATGACCAATACATTCTTGGAGGGCTTCTACTATAAGACTAACTTAATAAATCCACTTGTTTTAACCTGTTACTGACAATCCTCCTTTATTAAGACTAGGATGACAAATATTTCTGGCTAAGAGCTCCTTTCATATTAGAACTAAAGTCCAAACAGCGACCACCTTCAATTCTTTAGCCACAAAGTACTATAGGAAAATGCCCAGATGTACCAGAAAAGTGCTAGTCAACAAATACATGTTTCATTCTTACGGGTGTAATTCCCTGAACAAGGGCTGTTTTGACCACTCAGTTGAGAGGCACATGGCAGTGAACATCAGTGAAATTGCTCTTTCAAGTTTAAATGCCTAAAGCAGAATAAAGCAAT